ATATACACACACACACACATCAGGGATTGCCAAGGTCATCACTCATTCTCTGTTTATGACCAAATATGAATCCAGTTTGCATTAGTATTTGCTTCAATTCATCTACTGTGTTTTTCTGTGTGTTCTAATGCTGTATTCAATTGCTTTCATCCAGCTGCCTTAGCTAAAGGAATCTCAGAGGTAGAGCCCACAGTGGTGTCCCAAAACGGAGCACCTCCTGGAAAGAAAAGCACTTCAGTACCGTTACCTGAGCTGGAGTACCGGGAAAAAGGGAAGGACACTTCTGCAAAAGAGGGCAAAAAACAGAACACAGTTGGAATCAATAACAACAGTATTATACACGCACTGGACTCCAAACTACAGGAGACGGAATATATTGAGAACTACGTTGGGGCAAAAAGACTGAACAACGACCTGGCAGGCGACAACACGCACGCCGACACCAACACGCACACTTCTTCTAAAGAGGAAATTGGGGGGATGGGGAAGAACTACAAAAATGCCAGCGGAGGAGGCGGAGGCAGCAACTCGTCACCTCGGAATCACAGTTCTGCCAACGGCAGCGTGCCGCCAGGTTCCTCAGCTAATAAGAATGAGAAGAAGCAGAAGGGAGCAGGGAAGGGGCAGAAGGATCCGGTGGAGAACTGCATCCCCAATAACCAGCTGGGAAAGCCAGATGCTCTAGTGCGGTAAGACACCCCCGTTATCATTTTCCGACATCCATTTTTTACTTGGATACTTTGAGGGACACTCACTACTTGCCACGTTTCCTTTTGTCTATCTCTGCTGGATAGCCAGCTTAGTCATATTTCAACACTGAAGCTGCTAAAACAACACTAGCATTATGTACTATATTAGAACAACTCTACACTGAAACTGATTCTTTTAGGAAATGTGTTTGCTAATATTGCCGTGTCCCTTCCCAAAGACTGGAGCAGGATGTGAAGCGTCTGAAGGCAGATCTTCAGGCCAACAGGCAGCTGGAGTCAGAGCTGCGGAGTCAGCTTTCCTCTCTGAGCAGCCAGGATCGTAGCCTGCGCTCCGAACTGAGCCAGCTGCGCCAGGACAACGAGCTGCTACAGAACAAGTGAGTGCATGTACACTTAATTGTCAGGACCACTACAGTCAAAAGAAAAGATCAGTATTTCCAACTGAAGTGATTCATATTTGACTGTATTACTCTGTTTTCGGACCTCCCCAATCTTCCATATGCATATATGGAAAGCCAGAAGAGGCAGCAGCAAGCCGCTAGCACAGAACAAAGCAGGAAAGACAACAGATATAATATTGATTATCTAAGAATGTCAAACTCATTTTAAACTGTGAGCAACAGCCCGATTTGAGCGGGGCAGACCAGTGAAACACCCCTCTCTATCAACATAAAGATATTTAACGGTACACATAATCCCTGCAATAGCTTGGTATTAGAAAAAGAAATGCAAGTGAAAGAAATATTCTGCCACAACTTTTTTTATTTCTTACACATAAATGATAAGAAATACAGAAATTGTTCTGGTAGCTTATTATAACACAGAAAGTTGTTTTATTTTTTCTTCTTATTTTTATTGCTTCGAACCTGTTGTTAAAAACAAAACAAAAAACAAACAAACAGAAATTTCTATATCGGTTAAAAAAAACAGGATGTCTGTTGTTATTGTCATTGTTATTATTATTGTTATCATTGTTTATTTGTTACTTTGATGTAAATACAAATGGCTGTGGAGGAGGTCTTTATCTTTAGGAAAAGCTGTAAAATGTGAAATACAGTTTGAAGTTCAAAACTTATGCCCTCCTTAATATTTTGGAAACATGTCTAGTGGGCCGGTTGGGAGTCGTTGCCAGGCCCAATTATGGCCCCTAGATCTTATGTTTGAAAGATATGAAAGATATAACATGAAAGGAGAAGCTGGGGTGGAGGTGGTTTGTAAAGTGGTTTGCAGATAAGATATTTTGGGGAAGGCAGTTTGGGTTAGTGATATAACCTCAAGGATAATTGTATATTAAGGAAATCTGTCCTAATGATATTTACAATGATATAGAAAAACACATTTTATTCTTGATCACAGCTTGCACGCTGTTGCATTTATTTATTAGTGCAAGAAAAAGTATGGGGAATTTCCATCCTTCTATTCCAAGGAGTTACTGTCATTGATGATGCACTAATCTGATCTAATCTTAAGTGTGAATCTATTGCCACAAGGTGCCAGTAGCAGCATTAAAATTCATTAGTAGTATAGCGCATTATATATAGCGTTAAGAATTTGTATAAAAACAGCTTGGAAAAAAAAACTAAAGAATTTTTAAAAAGAGAATAAAGAAACAAGCAAATGTTCTGACTTTAACACTGCTACAAATGTTGAGCTGTTCATAAGCTCACATAGACGTAATCAGCCATCGCTGTATATGAACAAGGCTGGTATCCTGCTTGTGGATATGTTACCTTTTGGGCTTGAAGTGGGAAATAAACAAATGCAGTAACAGTTGCAGTTATTGATGTTAAAGGGGATGAAAGAGTTATAAGAAGAGAGTACTGTTTGGCTAACCCTATATATGTTTCACACTCCTTCTAAAGGCCTGTTGGTCAAGCTTTAACATCAGAGTTGGGTCATGGTCGGGGTAAGGATTTGGCATTCGGATGTGATAGTTGAAGCTGGTTGATCACATTCCTAGACTAAGTGATACAAGCAGACCTCAACTTGTCATGGGATGGGACGTACAGCATCATTTCACTACATGGTGTTATGTAAACTAGATGACTCAGTGCACACCTGTTTAACTTAACCTTTCAGTTTTCATCAGAAAATGCTGATGTGGCTACTAGTCATCGCTTTCTTAGAAATTCACAAGTTGGTAGTTTATGTTTTGAAATGATCTGTTACGCTTCAGATGCTCTGCTTTGCTTTCAAACCGCATACAAACCGAGATGCAGAAGTGACACAGCATCAGATAAATGTAAACACAAAAGTAGCCTTGTAGTGTTTTCACTGGAGTTGAGCCTGGACTGCGGCTGGATTTTTGTAGCCTGCCTGCTAACACTATGTGTGATTTGCATTTTTTTTGTTTTTGTCTGGTTTTTTTTCTTCACAGTTTTTCAGATTCAAGTTTCTAAAGTCGTGTTCCACTGAAGAGAGGCAGATTAGTACCATTTGTTCCCATAATGCGACTGTAGGAGTGTAGATTTGTCTTTAGGACCTCAGTGTACATTTATTTTAAACTTCATGGCCCAAGATCAGAGCAGTGAACATGCATCATTTTGCACTAATGTTCAAGTTTGGTTCATCTGTTCAGCTCGTTTCCAGTTCTATATTTTTATTCATAGGAACTGTAGAGAAATTTGCATGAGTCACAGTTTAAAATAATCCCCGTTTATCTTCTACTGGGCATTGGTGCAGCTCTTTAGTTCATCCACTGTTTAAAACGAGCTGTTTGAGCTTCTACCTGTTTAAGGCCACACTCCCTTTAAACCAACAGAAACTGAGTACTTTAAGTTATTGGTGCTGGAGGTGGTTGTGCAAGCCACAGAGTCATGGAATGTATTTTCACAAGTGCTTTTTGCATTTTGGCTTCGTGTGTCGTTCATCTGAGATTGTATTTACCTCAAATTTAAGACCTGCCAAGGACCAGGTGATTTTTTTTTTAATGTGGTAATATGTACAACTTTATAATTCTAAATAAGGTGTACTTTCATTTTTTAACATTACCATATAATACTTTTCAGAACGGACTGCCCCGTGCATGGGGCTGCACGGTGCTAATGCGTTAACGAGCTAACGTGTTGACGGCGTGCAGCCTCACGCACAGGTGATCTGCGTTAACTCGCTAACGGAGGCTATGTCCACACTAGCCCGGATAGATTTGAAAACGGCGTTTTTGTCTGAAAACGCTCTCTCTCGTGTGGACACACGAGCTCATTTCTGTCTGTCGTTTATTTACTTTCCGGCTCGTTGAAACGTCACCGCAAAATGTCGATGAAAAGCGCCAAGTTTTTTAAATGGACTAATAATGAGGTGGAGTTGTTGCTGCGAGTAACACAAAAGTACAAAGTTGCAAAAGCGAGTGAGAATTAAAGAATTTGAAGAAAAGCTATCTGGAGCATGTACAAACTGATATTAATCTTTAATGCGCTGTCAAAATTGAGAGCAAACAAAACAATTGCTGTGTAATGCCCTCCGCTATCTTTGTTTAATTGGTCACATGACTGCATCACATGACTAAAATGTGTCATCGTTTTAGAAAGTCTCCTTTTCGCTGTCCACACTGCCATGAAAGCACTGTTTTCAAATGTGAGCGTTTTCGAAACGCTGCGTTTTCCATCAGCGAAAACAGCATCTCACTGTGGACGGGAGGCCAAAACGGAGAGAAAACGATGCGAAAACGCATTAGTGTGGACTTAGCCGGAGATTTGCCGCGTTAATGCGGTTATGGCGTTAACGTCATTTTAACAATATTAACGCTGACAGCACTAATTTATATAGCATAAAGTCACAACAAAAGTCGCCTTAAGGGTCTTATATTGTAAGGTAAAGACACCAAAGTAATACAGAGAAAATTCCAGCAATCTGATGACCACCTATGAACAAGCACTTGGAGACAGTGGGAAGGAAAAACTCAATTTTTAACTGGAAGAAGCCGCTGGCAGAACCAGGCTCAGGGATGGGAAGCGAGGGAGACCGGACCTAATAGAGATTAATAATAATAATGAATGATTAAATGTAGCGTGGTTTAAAAATACATAGAGAGTGAAAAGAGGTTAATGAAGAGGAAACGTGGATCAAAGGAAGCCTTCAGGAGCCTGGGCCTATAACATCTAAATAAATACACCAAATATTCTCAATGATTTCATTGTTGACTATTTTTTCCTGTGTCCTCCAGGCTCCACAGTGCTGTCCAGGCCAAGCAGAAGGATAAGCAGACCATCTCCCAGCTGGAAAAGAGACTAAAGGCTGAGCAAGAGGCTCGGGCTCTGGTTGAGAAACAGCTGGCTGAGGAAAGGAAGAGGAAGAAGATGGAAGAGGCCACTGCCGCCAGAGCTGTAGCTCTTGCAGCTGCAACCAGGTACAAGCCCTCACTATTTTTGTCTTTTGACTCTTAGCTGTTTTGTTTTGGGGCATTTTCAGCTCCTAAAAAGTTTTTCTTTTCCTCCTCTGCCCAACAGAGTGGAGTCGACCGATTCGCTCCGCGGTCGTATCAGAGAGCTGGAGACAGAGTGTAAGAAGCTCAGCATGGATATGAAACTCGCAGAGGAGCAGATTAGAGACCTGGAGGGCAAATGTCAGGTGAGCCTGAGAAGCAGAGCCTTTCCTTTATTATAACTGCGCTTTGTTCTTGTCAGTGTTTGCATACCAGGTTTAAATTGATTGGAAAGTACATTATTTAATTGCTCCGAATATAAATGCAGTTAACGGGCTGCTGCAGGACTCCAGCATATTTTTCCCCTGTTCTAAATGCTTAGTGTAAGTAACTGTTATTTTATAGCATAATAATGTTGTCTCACTTTCCTTTTCTGTTTCTCTCACTCCTGCCTCACAAAGGAGCTGCGCAAGTATAAAGAGAACGAGAAGGACACCGAGGTGTTGATGTCAGCGCTGTCCGCCATGCAGGAGAAGACCCAACACCTGGAGAACAGCCTCAGCGCCGAGACCAGGATCAAACTGGACCTCTTCTCTGCACTGGGGGATGCCAAGAGGCAGCTGGAGATAGCACAAGGTAAACTGCTGCTGTAGGAATCCAGTCATTTGCTCCTGAATTTCTAGTTCTCCCTTTGATTGAAGCACTTGCCTGCTCACAAGAACTGTGTCATCTGTAATAGAGAGGATGAAATTCTAACACAATGACTAAAGGGCTCTTGAAGAGGATATTAGAAATGAGGAAATATTTTTATGAGACATGTCTTTTCAGCAGTTGAGATGCTCTTTCTGCTGCTGAAACTGCAGTGCTAGGGGCGCAGCAATTCTAAACTTGTTCCATAATCTTTTGTAACCTAATGGCTCGACAAACCTCCGTCTGTCTCTGGGAGCAAAATTGATAAACGACAGCCGCTACAGCAACACCATAAATCCCCAGCTACACGAGTGTAAGGAAGCGTTTGAGGTCTTGCTTTCAGCATCACAGCGTGGCTTTTTTCCTAATTTTATCTAGTGATTACTTCTTACTTCAGTGATTGCAGTGAGGATCATGTCTTCGCTTTGTTTCATTTGTGTAAACACAGAAGCAGCAAAGCAACGAATTTCAATTACATTTTGCCTCAAGGCACTTTATGTTTTAAGGTAAATACTCTAAAATAATAATGATGAAATTCCCAACAATTGGACAACCCCCTTATCAGCAAACACTTAGAGACAGAAGGAAGGAAAAACTCCCTTTTAACAGGAAGAGAAGCAGACTAAGAAGGTGAATCGACTGGTTAGCTGGGCCTTTCTGTGTCAAGTTTGCATATTCTCGCAAATTCAAAATGCTGGTTTAATTGGTGACACTACATTTGCCATAGCTGTGACTGTGTCTGTCTATATTTGTGTGTTTGGATGGGTCCATCTCAGACACAGGCCCCACCCACCTGTTATTAAAACTTCCTGTTTTCAAGCACAACTAATCTGAAGACGTCTCATAGAGAGTGGGAAGAAAGCTAAAACATGCCATACCAAGACTGGTTTAAAATGAATAAGATGAATGATAATTATTTTAAACTATGAGGGTCAAGTGTGTCAATACTTTTTTTTAAACAGTAATTGATCATGTTGATGGTGTTTTTATTGAACACAATGCTGTAATTCATTACACCTCACGTGAGAGTGTGGTTGTCAAGTGCTGACTTAATCTCAGTAAACTGCAGTTAGATTTTAATGAAAGAAGGCAAAGCCCAGGTGAAACTAATCACCTTTAAAATATGTTATTAATTCCACCTGTGCTTGACCATATCTTCTTCTTCCTACTAGCTTTTATATTCTTTGACTTGGTGAATTACGGCATTTTTAGCTAGCTATTACGGCCCTTGGTTGCATAGTGTGGGACTAGCTACTCTCCTTATGGTGGCTGTGGTTTCCAGATTTGAATGACATTACTACAGGCTAAAAGCAGGTCTTCAGCAATGTTACTGAAAAACAGTAGATAAGTTAGGAAGCCACTGAAAAATTACCCTGAAATCATGTTGCAAACTGCATGAAAGCCATGGACTGTTAATATTTTTGTTGCCCCTCATGTTTAAAACCAAAACCAACACACAAAAAAATTGTACAGTGTGTCTTTGTTTTGACTTCCCCCCCCCCCCCCCCCCCCCCCCTCACCCCCCCAGGGTTCTTCCTGGTAAAATGTAGTTCTTCCTTCCCATTGTCACCAAATGCTCACTCATAGGGGGGTCATTTGATTGTTGAAGTTTTGTCTGTATTATTGTAGGATATTTACCTTACAATATAAAGCACCTTGAGGCGACTGTTGTGCTTTTCTTGGAATATAAGTAAAACTGAATTAAAAAGGTGGCTTTAATATAACTGGGAAACTGGTCTTGTGAAACATCACTGCCTACCTAATAATGAGATGAGAACAGGAAGATGAGAGAAATTCATCTAAACTCATGATTTGTTCTTTTATTTTATTGTAGTTTAGTTTTTTTCTTTTGGTCACGTTTATAAAGTTGATCCCGTCCCTTTAATATTTCGGGCTGTATTAGCCCAGAAGGAAGTCAGAAATGAGGCTTTGCTATGAGAGCACACCTAAGGCTGTTTGATGTTCGGTCTGTCCGCCCCTCTGCTGTTTGTAATACTGTGAAATGAACGTTGTGTTTTTCCCACTCATCTCATCCCATCCAGGTCAGATCCACCAGAAGGAGCAGGAGATTGCAGAGCTGAAGCAGAAGATAGCAGAGGTGATGGCAGTGATGCCCAGCCTGTCCTACTCGTCAGATGGCAGCAACCTGAGCCCCGTGACCCCGCACTACTCCTCCAAGTTCATGGACAATAGTCCCTCCTCGTTGGACCCCAACGCCTCAGTTTACCAGCCCCTTAAAAAGTGACTCTGACATCCACGTTTGTCAGACGGGACTTTTCCTTTATTTTGATCTCAGTTCTGGTTTCGGGTTATTTTACATTATTTTCAAGCTTACAAAGCCCCGGAAAGTTTTTGCACTTTCAACACGCACACACAGACACACACAGCCCCTCCATACATCTGGGTATTCGCTCTGGGTGTTTTTTATTTGGGTTTTTTGTCCTATTTATTTTAGGGGGGGGGGTTGAATTTTGCTTGTTTGTTCATTTTGGGTTGTTTTTAGTTTTGAGGGTGTGTTGTTTTTTTTGGATTTAGCCATCAGACAGCGCGATCTGTTTGAAGGTTGGAGAAAGGAACAAACATTGTTTGGCCAAATGTACTGAAGAGCCATCATGCATTGCTTCGTGTCAGTCTTCTTTTAGTGTAAAGTGTGAACCTCCCTCACAGGCATATATTTCTTTCTCTCTCTCTCTCTTTGTCGTCTGGATTAAACTGACAGACAGGCTTTTAGTTTAAGAAGAATTAGCTTCTTTTTTTTCTTTCCATGATGGTTTGTAGATGACAGAAGGCATACTTTCAGTGCAGATGTGAATTCGAAGCTCACCTTTAAAGTAAAGCCCTGTGAGAGATACATGAATGTAATAATGTTCATGTTTTGATATCAGCATTAACATAAATCAGTGATTGTTTGTTTCGGGTTTTTTGTAATATTTCAGTTCAGTCACGCCGATGTACATTTCTTCTGATTTAGTGATACTGAACAGATGATCATTTGCTGTGTTTCTCGGATACACTTTTAGTCTCTCAATGCTGGAATAGCGGTTTCTCCAGGATTATCAGTAAGTGGATGAAGCAGATGTAGACTACTACTCCTTGATTGGACGTGGCACTGCCGAAAAAAAGAAAAATGTTCCATCAACATTCAGTTGTTTGCTGCAGACACCTCTCTTCTTCTTCTCCCTTCTGGACCAAATTAGAACCGGTTAAGGCCATATCATTCGCTGGATTTAATGATGTCGAGGTAACCACCCCGCCCCTCCCGTTACCTTTATTTGGGGATCTCACAGTGCCTTGCAGTTTCTCTTTTTCAAAAAAAATGCAGAAAATACATACTTTGCAATCCTGGGATTTAAAAGCTTCAAACCTGTTTTCTCTCTCTTTATCCTGTTCATCCACTCACACGCGTTCATCAGTATTCAAAAGCTAAACCGATTACGTGTCATATCGCAGCTAATTGACCAGCTGCGAATTTAAAGGGAAAGCCTAACTCTGGTACATGGTACGCATCGTTTTACGGTGACACAGTCTTGGTATGCCAAACACCAAACCAAACTGATTGTCTTGCCCTCTTGCCGGCATTTTGTTGTTTACAGCGATGTACATTGACTTATCGAGGAATGTTTTCTTTCTTTCGTTTGGGTTCTTAAGTGCCAAGTGTTGCCATTCTGTTTCCATCCATACTTCGATTGATGTAGCTAGCATAATGTTTGCAGGAAAAAAAAAAGAGTGCTGTTATGTTTTTGTTTTGTTTTGTTTTTCGGTTTTGTTTTGTTTTTTTGTCAGTAGAACATATTCGGATAGTGTTGTGTTTACAAAAGGTTCTGGGCCGATCATGATGAAGCAGCAGAAGCAGATGGTCAGTCGGACTGCTCGTGTTATTCGCACATTTATTTATTTGTGACAGCCTTTTTTTTTCCCTTCTTTTTTAAATTGAGTGACACTTCTTTGATATTTCCCATCACGATCAGTTGGTTTCCAGTGTTTTCTAACCAGGAAGGATTGTGTGAATGTGTCGTGTTGGGAAAAGGTTACCCCTGAACCATTTGACCATGTTGTGATGTCATGTTGCCTACCTGGGGGGAAAAAAAAAAGAAAAAAGAAAAAAAAAAGTATTGTTTGTGGATCGCTCTGGCGTTGTGAATTCAGTTCTCAAGTTGCTTTTACAAGTTTGTGTAGAAGGAAGAGAAGGTTTTAAAAAAGTGCTTTGTTTTATCTTTTTATTGCTCCACCATGTTTTTGTTTTCTTTACTCAAAGTGATGGTGGCTGTGTCACACTTTTCACTTTGGTCATCACTATTAAAGAAAGTCTTGCTGGTGGCAACGCAAAGCTGTTGAGTCTGTGTACGTGTCATGTTCTGTGTGTGGACTTTCACAGGCCTTTTACATAAAACTTATCACAACATGGGGACAGTGTGATCTGCAGAATTTGCAGAGTAAACAAGAAAACGTACCAGTCAATATTCTCAAGGAAAATATCGAAACTTGTGAGACTTGTAATTTGTATGTGCTGTTTTCTATTCACACTCATTTAAAGCAGTAGCTTGAGCTTGCTGACACCTCCCAAACCTTTAATCTGGGTTTATTTGTTTTGTTCATGTTGTTATGTCTGAACTTAGACAAAAAACACATGCCCTATAATTCAATGGTGATTTCAGGTGCTATTTGTAAATGCCTACTCTGTTTTTTGTTTTTTGTTTTTTTTTTGTCTCCCCCCCCCCCTCCCACGTAACCTGATATAATCTTCATTCACTCATAAGGTAGACCAGGGGGGTCAAACATAAGGCCCAGAATTAGGCAAAGACTCCAATTCAGCCCTGCTGCACAGCTTTGGAAAATGCAAAGGAGGTTATTCATGGTACTCCAAAGTAATTAGGTAATTTTTTTAAAAATTAATGATGGAAATGTTCCTTTTCTCCACCATCTACTACATAGATTTGTTTTGAGTTTTGTTTTTTTTAATAAATGGAAATAATAATGGATACAAAGGAAATATGCTCTGTATCCATTGCACACAATACAATCAATTTATAAGTGCATATATATTTTTAAGAGTTGTGCTGAGAGATTTCGTTACTAGAGCAACATTTCTTTATCCTGCAGAGAAAACAGACGATGTTAAGGTTACACTTCTTATGGTGGCCCTGAGAGGCCAAACGGACTGCAACTTAAGAAAACACCAGCAATAAGCAAAACGCTGAAAAAGCACACAAAACACAGCGGAAATAGGAACAACGAAAACAGAAATAGGAAAGAAAAAAAAAACAGAAACTACTTCTTCTTATCATCATCTTAAGATATGTCAAGAATGAAATCTGTAATTGCTTCAGTTTTAGTGAATGAAATTCTAGAGATTTACTTGTCTGTTATTTAGCACTGATTAGCAGACATGCCTGTCTATTGTGCCTGTATAGTTTATAAATGCATTTTGCTAACCAAGTTGTTATACGGGCAGTCTGCCAATTCTGGGTTTATACTGTAAGAGCATTCTTTAAAATTGTGTCCTGAAAGCTATAGTTGAGGTTCTGATTTGGTCATATTTATGTGGCTCTTCCATATGAATCGTCTCTTCTTTTTTAAATTATTTATTTAGCATCCTTTCAGATACCACGTAATGTCCCATGTAACTCAAATGCAGCACCACTCCTCTGTAGTAAAGTCAGTGTTGTGCAAAAAATGATTGCTCGTATTTAAATTTCTATATATAAGTTTTTGTGTCTATAATATGTGAAACCTGTGAAATGATATCAAGTCATCTTGAGCCACAATCAACATTCCTGTAACAAGGTAGAAGCCGGACTTATCCAGTTTTAAAAAAAAACCTCGTTGACATTAAAAATATTTTTTGGCCTAAGAGGACAGCAGAAATTGCAACAAATATAACAATAGTTGTGTAAACATATTTTAAGTGCACAAAAGGGACCGGATTGGTTATAATGTAAGTACAATAACACAGAGTTATGAAGATACTTGAAAAACAGGTAATTTTAATTTTATATATAACCCCTTTGTAGGAAAAATATTACATATAAGAAACACACGGAAAGTTTTTGGCAGGCGATGACTTTTTGACACAACACCGGGATTTCTGAGTGCACTGGAAGGCACCACAGGTCCATCCTCTCTCCCCATCAGCAGTCCGGTCAACATTTCTCCTGGAACACTTCGGGGAACTTCACCGACTCTCTGCACTTCAACACACCGACATGGATGCCCTCAAGTCTGCTGGAAGAGCTATTATCCGGAGCCCAAGTATGGCGAAACAGTCGTGGACTGCCAGCAAACACAGAAGTAAGAAATACTCGTTAAATTAGCTAAAGGAAAATAAAAAAAAAACATAAAAAATAAAAGGTAATACCTTCTTCTTCTTTTTTTTTACCGTTAGCAACAAATTTAAAATTCCGCCTAGCCGCAGTTTACTTTGCCTGTACCCAATTTACGTTTTTTTTCTGTGACAAATAGTGATTAATTAAGACATTTATAGGTTAACTTGACCAAACTTTGGTTTCTGTTTCACAAACGACGTATTGTGCTGTCGGCTGTCACAGCGGGTGGTAAAGACGGAGTTTGACATCTCTTTTTTTTCTTTAGCTTGAGCAGTTACGTCTCTTTTAGTTTGTCAAAGGAGGGTAAAGGTAAATAGTTTCTCCCGCTTAGTGTTTCTGTTCTGGGGAAACATACAGCGGTTTCTTCCTGCGGAGGATGAGTAACTGTTTGCAATGCGGTTTATCATGGTGCAGGAATTTTCCGGGAATTCAAGTTATTTTAAAATGAACCACAACAACAAAACTAATTAGAAGTTTTATTTCTAATTTGTGCCATTTCTCGTGGATTATTCACGTGTTTCAAGACTGATTTTTGTGTGTTTCTCACGGTCTTTTACTCAGGTGGGAATTACACCAACTACTTCTTTTGCTTTGTGTTTCGCTAACTAAAAAGGTATTTTTGGATTTCTTGATAATCCCACCTCCCTCTTTCCGCCAACCCTGCCAGAGGAAGTTCAGAGGTCATCGTCAGCACGAGATCTTATTATATTTATATTTCCCCCATTGTATGTTGCTGAAGAGCACTTTGCCAGGGCAGGAGCAGTCACATGCAGCAGCATTAACATAAAGCTCCTTTAAGAAGGAATTGGCACCCATTGTAGGACTCAAGGGCCACTTTGTAAGCTAAATCTCACTTGATCCTGCCTGTGAAGTTGTGGGGTGGGGGGAATGACCGTGTGGCTTCCAAAGCATGAAAAGTCCACAGCCTGTAACCAAGAGGACAAGCCAGGAATGCTGCGGGGCGAGTCTGTGCACTGCCCCTGTTGGCTTCAAGTCATACTGCTGCTCTTTTGTTTTCCTTTTTTCTTTTTAAATTCCAGAAAGGCTACTGTCACATCTGCAGAGACATTAGAGAGTGACAGGGTGGATAACATAAACACACTGCATTGTTGTGTGTAACCTTAGTTGCTCACCAGGGAAAAGGCAACGCCGCAGAAATTAGAGATGGACACTTCCATATTATGCCTGCACATTACTGCGTTAATGGATGAGGCTGAGATGTTAATCTTACATCTTCCCAGCTGTCAGTGGAGAGGTGATATCTGGCTGTATTACATCTGGCAGACACTTTCCACAGTGCGAGTTTCTTCTGCCTGAGTTGTTTGTATGTCTGTGGCAGCCGTTCCGACTGGAAGTGGGCTATTCTGATTGTTCGTGGAATTAATGGCTTCCTGTAAATGTGGCTACTGACCCACTTGTCGTAGAAGTAGAGTATTGAAGTTTGGTCATAGATTACCTGGCTGCAGGGCACGCATTCTTCACCAGCACTGACCCATATCATTCATGCTGGATTTTTAGGTCTGACGTTGCCTTCATCAGAATCGTCCTACATTTCCATGTACTCGGGGTAGGGATTACTTTGGGTCAGGTGAATGCAGTACAGGGCTCGAGCACCTGAGGACCCAGGCATCATTTCCATTAATGAGACTGTATTACAAACTGTACATAAAAAGATGGTCATAGTTACTGTGACTTCACCAGTTGGTTTTAGGACACTGGTAGTTCAGCTGCTGCCGTGATGTTTTTTTTGTTTTTGTTTTTTTTATTATTATTCTATAGGCTAAAAGGGTGTCAATAGAGGAATTGATTAACTCAGCATGCATTGCGTTCTCGCTGTTGATTTTTGTTTTTAGGCACTCTATTATATTTGTTAACCTGTCATATGTCAATCACCAGTAACCTTCTCTGTCATTGGTACTCGCTTGCCTTTAGTACAGGGTGTATCAAAAAGAATGATCAGATTTCAGAGTGCCGATTGAAAGGCATGCTGTTAGAAAGAGCGGATTCGTGAGTTTCCCATGGATGCCAGTAGGTAGAGTAACAACAGCAGTGGCTGCAGTGACTCCAGACAGCTTGACTATCATCTGGACATGTGCCATGCATCCGGGGGACGCACCTTAAGTGCTTGCCGAACATTGTAAGTGTCGTATGTAAAACTTTATATTCAGCCATGTATTTTAAAATTTTAGGTTTCTGTGACCATTACTTTAAAAAAAAAAAAGCTTTTTGTAATCGGATGATTCATTTAGATGAACCGTGTATAGAAAAGTTGTGATCCACCTATGTCACGTCACTTGTATGCCTCTTTGCATGTTCTGTTTTCTCACCATAAGTTTGTGTTGGGAGAAATGCATTCATCTTATCTAGCTAAGACTTCATCTTCTCTGTTCTTTTGCCCTGGCTTAGACGGCGTATGCCAACAGTGTTAAGGGGACCCCCAAAGTTTATTTGTTTGTGTTGAAGACCCCTTTTTCCAGGATCCTCTCCAACAGGTGCCACTCTTTAGCTCTGACTAGTTTTCTCTGCAGCTGTATTTCTGTGGTTGCTCTAAACTGGCTGTAATGGACTTTTTGATGAATAAATATGACTTGTATTAAAATCATCCGGAACGCCATGAGGCTGAAGTTGGAGATTCAGCATGTGGCATTTGATGTGAATGCAACGGCGCTGATCAGTTGTGCTGCATTTCTTTTAGCGGTGATGCTTGCATTTAAAAATCCATGGCTCCTTTTTCCTTTACAATGTTACTGTCTGTCTTCCATGAAATCCCAAACTGCTATGGCAGGTTCTGCACCACATTTATGTAATTATTTAAATTTTATTATATTTTATTCTACTATGATATATTTAATGGCTAAACTTTACCCGTTAGCTGTTTAACTGTTATGTTGTTATCATTAAGGTAGTGGCTAGCGGTTATTGGCTAGTAATAAAACAGTAACATTAATGCTAGAGCTGCACAGCCAGCGTCATCAGTCCTGCCTGTGACTAATGTTACTAGACTGTGTTATTTTAACAGGATAAACACTTTAATGGTCTGTAAAAAGAGTTAGGTTTCTCTTAAAGTCTCAAAATGAAGCTGAAAAAAGTCTGTCATCAACTAGATGGAAAACAGTAGCAACCTACTGTACCACTCTATTTGACCTGCAACGAACATATGGGAACATCAGCAGAAGCACAACACTACAGCCTGAAAGTAATGTTGTTGTTTTGTTGTTGTTGTTTTTTTAAGCTACCTGACAATCTTAAAATATTTGTCATACACATTTACCTAAAAGTAATGATACTGTATTATTTTGCAATAGTTAGACAATTTAAAAATGCTCTCTTCGATGATGTTTTTTGTATTATACTACTTTTTTTAATGTAAAATTTTAATTAAAAAAATATGTCTCATCAATTTATCACAGTTTTCCCCATTTATTTCAAAATGGTATTGCATATTTTCCCGTGTATGAATTTTCGTGATGACAGTCTGCCAACCTGACCACTGCAGAACTGTGTTTGAGATATAAGCAACAATGGATGTTGAGCCAGTCAAACACTTCTGTTTGAAGTGACATCTTCTTGGGACAGTATCTCACCTGAATGCAGTTTTTCAGAATCTTGTTTAAAGTCAGGTTTAACATATGACAGCTTTACAGGCAGTAGCTGACTTTTAATTTTTTATTTTATTTTATTCATGTTCCACTTGACTGAAGTGGACAGAACCCGATTGGTCCATTTTGTCGAAAAAAGTTTAACGAACCACAGAGAAGGTTGATAGCCACCGCTGTGATGCCTGTTACCTCTCATAGAGGGTTTAGGTTTTGTTGAGCAAAGCTAATGCAAAGAAAGCCTTGCTATGTGGCTAAGTCTGCTTCATACACTCAACAGGCAACCCTGTTTGTTAATGTGAGCGTAGCCCACCAATCAGAAGGTTGTCCTTCACTGTGAGTTTATACACAAGAACCACTTCTACTCCACAGCACCCTCAGGATTGAAACTCTCTGTATAATATAAGTACTTAAATTAAAAGAATTATGTCGCACTTTTCATAGGTAAAAATCATAAAAAGTTTCACAATAAAACACAAATGTGTACAACCTATCATAACAGTGGAAAGCAAATATGTATTTATATATGTTATCATAATCCTGCTTGTGACCACTTAGCTGCTGTATGAAGAGCAGACTGCTGCTGTTGTATACAGGAAGCGTCTCCTTCTAATTTTACAATGTGATCCTCTCAAAATAAAATCAAATGAACATGCTTCTCCATAGCTGCCCTATTATGGGAGAAACAGTGTGTGACTATTTGAGCCAAATGTGTGTAACTGGTTTAGGAACTGGCCAATGTAACAGACAGGAAGCTGAAAAACCTCATTAGGAGGGGTGTGTCCTCAATGTGTAGTGGGCTCCCCCCCCCCTTGACCATGAAGAATCATTGCTTTTCTGAAAGCGATGACAATGCAGTAGGACTAAAAATTTATCTCATCTTATTTTGTCTAGGTTTAAAGACCTTGCTTGGCACATCAGAAAGAAGAAGAAGAAACTGTACTTTATTGGTCCCCGTGGGGAAAATCCCTCTCTGCATTTAACCCATTCACTCAGTGAAGCAGTGGGCAGCCACTGGGCGCCCGGGGAGCAGTGTGTAGGGACGGTACCTTGCTCAGGGGTACCTCAGGGTAGCTGTTCAGGGGAATCGAACCCCCGACCTTCCGATCATGGGACCACCACTCTACCTACTGAGCTATCCCTGCCCTATCCCTGTCTTTCACTGATAAACATTTCAGATGCATTCTGCCCCTAATTTACTCGATTTTGCATCTGCAGAGACTTCCAAATTGACACACTCTCACTAATGTGTTTATGTTTTCCCCACATTATTAGAATCCCAAACATAAACTCTGGTGAATTTGGGACTCTGTGCATAATAATTTGAGAGGCATGCAGGCGTAGATCAGTGAAGGAGGGAGGAAAGTGAAAAGGCAGCAGAGGCTGAGAAAAAGATAATTTGGCACTGGAGGAGTCCAGAGTTGTAGGACCACAGTTGGTGGTTTCCCCAGTGATCCAGTGTTTGTTGTAGACACACAAATCAGCCAGGATGCAAATTGCCTGTCAGTTGGACCTTTCTGGATCAGCACCATTGTTGTCACAGTTTGCAACTAAGAGTTATTTTGCACTCTGACAAATTAAATGGCTACTCATCCATCAGTGTTGGATGTAATGGATATCTATAGAGCTGAAAACTGAGGCTTTGTCTTCCAATTTTTTCTCCTCTTTTTCTTATCTTTCTCACATTATACCAAGACACTTCCCCCAATACTACAGTGAGAAACCAGTAAGTGATTATTTGCCACATACAGGTGTAATGTTAGTAGCAGGTCACCTGGTTTTTCTTGTTCTCAGTTGACTCGTGCACACAGCTGTTTCCTTTGACGTATAAAGGTTGCTGACCTTTTATCCTCAAAGCCTTCTGCATTCTTGGGCTGATTGGTGTCTGGTACAGTCTCTGCTGCTGGTGAAACAAACTGAAAACCAGAACAGGTTCTTTTATTACAAGCTCAATATTAGCTCTCCAACACTGTCAGTGGAAAACATGCACTGAAACCTGCGTCAGTGAACCACTAAAAGGATCCATTTCTTCTTTGTGTAAATTAAATGTTTTGATGTCTAAAATGGAAAACATTAATATCTGCAGTTACTAGCATTACATTTGTTACGTTTTCCACTCACTATAATTTATTACTTAATGTAACACATTTATAGGAGGCAGTCGTGGATACAGAGAAAGGATTTTCTCAGTAATCAGTGTGTTGTAGACTTTTTGACCTGGTTACATTTCAACATAGGTTTCAAAGACTCTCTGATTCCACTTCTCTCATAAAATGAGCGAAACATGAAATGTTTACCAAAAGAGAAGCTGAACTTATTTTTTTTTTGACAGTTTTCTGACAGTGATGGACGCTCATGTTAAATAGGGTCAGCGTTTGTACAAGCTCAGTTTTCCTTTCTACACTTAGCTCTGTGTGACGTAAAAGATTGGGAGCGTTCTTCATATGATCAGCTGCTTTACACATAGATTGAATAGGCCTCCTCTTGGCCACTCTTATAACAAACAGTTGCGTCAGGAACGTTACAGAGTAGGCATGCTGAAAAGTAATAATAATCAATTTTTATTTGAAAGCGCCTTTCAAACTTTCACTTAACAATAGAATAAAATACAATAAAGAACAATGAATATGAAGAAAAATAAGAAAACAAAAGCACAAGGTAAAATAAATAAATAAACAAACAGTGTCTTCTGTCTGCTCTTGGAACGTCCTCTAGCCTGTGTTCCAGCTGTTTTGAGGCCTCAGAGGTGATGATTAAGTGATATTTTGACAGCGTGCCCTGACAGCTTTAGTTGCTTACACAAATCGACTTGACTTGATGGTGTTTGCTGGTGTTGATTACTGAGGCTACCTGCCTCTGCCTTCAGCACCTTGGTATGGCTATCCCCCAGAGCCTTTGGGCAGCTGCTGAGAAGATGTTCCAAAGAGCCTCTTCCAGAGCAAAGGGTGCAGGAGGGTGTCTCACTCTTTCACCAAACTTCATGCACTGCCTCCACCAGGAACAGTACCCACTTTAAGTCTGCATGCATGATGTTTCCCCAGGTGATCCTGTACTGCAGGATACCTCCCATCTTGTTCATGCTCCTCGTTGCCAGAGCCCCAGTGTTCTGCCAATTTCCTCTTCCTCTACACCTGCTAGGATGTCTTCCTAGAGTCTGTGGTGTTCCTCCCTGAGTTTTGCTTTGTTGATGTGGGTCTGAAGTGGGAACTAGTTAACCCAAATTCACTCTACTTATCACCAGTGCCTTTTGTCTCAGGCGTGATTCTGCTTTCCCAACTTTGGATCTCTTGGCACTGTTAACATAAACTCCAGCTGATGATGCTCTGCAGTCCCTGTACTTAAACGCTTTGTTTGATTATTTTGTAGCCGATATTGTTACTATAAATAACGGCCTGATGATAACGATGATGATGATATCTGACGCTTTCACATGTGCTTTGGCTGTGTTAATATGAACACCTGTTTTTATAACAGTGTACATGTGATGGAAAATCACATTGAGTTTCCTTCTAAGACTTTAAGATCTTAAGATCTCTTGGTCCAGTTTGTGTAGTCTGCATTCAAAATGTATGTGTGTGAATATGTACCAGCATGACTGTGTGGTATGTACTACATCCCAGAGGAGGGAAAGGTTAGGAGGGTGAAATTCTAGGTAATAATGGTGGATTGAGTTTTTTCCCCCTTCCTTCACCCCCCCCCCTTTTTTTTTTTTTTCCTCTGATGAAAGTGCAAACAGTATTACAGGTTCAGGGTCGGCCAGCGCCACACAAAACCTGATAAGAAATCACACAGAGGTAGAAGCTGTTCCTTCAGTTGTTACACTTTAAACAGTCTTTTTCAGGGAAATTTTAAAAATGGAGACAGTAATGCACTTTGAGAACGACACATGATTCATGCTGTTGGAGAGATCGCTGATGTTACCACGCTTTCCTCTTATCACAGCGTGTCACAGTGCATGTACAACTTGCTCCAAACTCTTCATGTTTTTTATTGTCGAGCCCTATAAGCTATTTGGAAGATGAAATATTTACTTTAAGCCTCAGCACCTCTGACCTAGATACCCTGTTTTGCCTTTCCTCTTCAGCGAGGGAGCACATGAAGTGGGCCAACTCTAAGTTCAACACAGACTGTTTACATTTCTTCTGATTTGTGTTTTTCTCAAAGTCTTTGAATGTTGCACGAGCCTTATTTATTTTGGAACATGAACCCTGGGAAAAAGCAGATAAATATTTGATGTTTGCAACGCTTGATGTTTGACAAGAACGTCGTTACAGTTGATCAGAGTATCGGCCGCTCCCGCTCTTCTCCGCAGAGCTCCCAGAGAACTGGACAGACACGCGGGAGACCATCTTAGAGGGCATGACCTTTAATCTTCGACATCTTGGCATGACACTGGTGGACCAACCCAAAGGAGAGGAGCTGTCAGCAGCTGCTGTAAAGAGGATTGTTGCCACGGTCAGAGATCGCTCATTCACAGTTTACATTATCTCCACTTTTGACTGCTCTGCTTTGATTTCCTGCCAAAATCAACAACAGCAGTGTAAGAAAAACAATCCAGTGGCTTTTAAGACTACCGCTTTAATTATTATCATTATTTTTTTCTTAAAATTGTTAAGCTCTCTTAAATTTCACAAACATACTGACATTAAGGCTTTCATCATGTCCTCACCACCGTCTGCATGTTTATAAACTCTGGATCAAATTTAGTTTAAAGCTGCTGTCTGTATCTTACTGTGCCTGTTTCCATACATCCTCGCACTAAATCCTGATAAATAGTAAATGTAGGGTTTTTTGAAAGTGTCTGGTGATTAATAATGTACAATGTTGTCTCTAGCGTACCACCGGAAATAGACACTGTAGAAGATCTGAGTAGTATGTAAGCAGTGTGCGGACGTTTTGCATTTCGGTCATAAAACAATCATCAGTTTCCGCTGCGTTATTTTCCCCATGACAGGCTAAAGCCAGTGGGAAGAAACCTCAGAAGGTCACTCTTAAGGTTTCTCCTCAAGGAATTGTCCTACATGACAGCTCAACAAATAAACTCCTGGAAAACGTGTCCATATACAGGTATGTGTAGAATGACTGGTTTTGTAATTTTATTTCATCACTTAAGTAATTTGAAATAGATTCTCCTTGGTGGGTGTCATTGAAACCAAAAAGTCACATATGAAAGTCTCAGATGGGTTCCAGTGTCGGTACCGTGACCTAAAGGTCCAGTATAGGGGTGTGTACTAGGAGGCTGAGGGGTTGCCAGTGTTTACTCATTTTTAAAAAAATCAACATTGTATTAATCTTTGACAAAAACATACTAACACGGCAGGTCAATCAGTCTTCAACTGTTTTTTTTTTTTGTTTTTGTTTTTAGTCTTTCTGTGTAAATCTCATTCTTGCTTCTGGAAAGTTTGAGCGTATTGTAAAAAAAAGCGTTGGATCTCTGTACGCTGTTTGTCTAACCTGTTGTCTCTGGTCTGCAGGATATCCTACTGCACGGTGGATAAACTACACGATAAAGTCTTTGCTTATATCGCACAAAACACCCTGAATGGAACCCTGGAGTGCAACGCCTACCTCTGCTCAAAGAGGAAAGTGGTGAGTTTAGAGCACGTACACTACCAGTCATCTGAAATGGTTTTCCAACAGTCTTGAAGGATTTGCCAGAGATGCTGAGCACTTGTTGGCCCCTTTGCCATCACTCTGCGCTCCATCTCATCCCAAACCATCTCGACTGGGTTTAGGTCAGGTGACCGTGGAGGCCATCTGGTGCAGCACTCCATCACTCTCCTTCTTGGTTAAATAGACCTTACTCAGCCTGGAGGTGTGTTTGGGATCATTCTCCTGTTGAAAGATAAGTGGTGGTCCAACTCAGCACAAACTGGATGGGATGGCATGGATGCTGTGGTAGCCATGCTGCTTTCAGTGTGCCTTCAATTTTGAATAAATCCCACAACACTGTCAGCAGCAAAGCACCCCCACACCATCACACCTCCTCCTCCATGTTTCATGGTGGGAACCTTTCATGTAGAGATCATCCGTTCACCTTTTCTGCTTTGCACAAAGACACTGCAGGTGGAACCAAAGATCTCAAATTTGGACTCATCAGACAAAAGCACAGATTTCCACTGGTCTAATGTCCACTCCTTGTGTTTCTTGGACCAAACAAATCTCCTCTGCTTGTTGCTTTTCCTTAGTCATGGTTTCTTAGTAGCTATTTGAACACAAAGGCCTGATTTGTGCAGTCTTCTCTGAGCAGTTGATGTAGAGATGTGTCTGCTGCTGGATCTTTGTGTGGCATTTATCTGGGCCCTAATCTGAGTGGCTGTTAACTTCTGATTTCTGAGGCTGGTGACTCAGATGAATTTATTCTGGGCTGGGCGGTCATTATGTGAACTAGTTTCATTGTCGTGCTTGGATGATGATTTTTGCGACTGCACACATTGAAAGTTTTAGCAATATTCCAGGCTGACTAACCTTCAGTGCTTAAAGTAATGATGGACTTTCACTTCTCTAGCTGATTGGTTCCCAACCCCATAAAGAAGGCAAGAAATTCCACAAATGAACCCTGACATGGCACACCTGTGAGGTGAAAGCCATTTCAGCTGACTACATCATGAAGGCCAAATGTTTGCACCGTCAACAAAGCGAAGGGTGGCTGCTTCGAGGACTCTAAAATAAAAGACATGTTTAAAGTTATTTATATATTTTTTTCTTTGCTACATGATACCATATATGTTGCTTCATATATTTGATGTCTTCAGTTTGCATCTAAAATGGAGAAAGTAGTAAAAATTAAGAAAAGACATTAAATGAGAAGGTGTGTCCAAACTTTGAATTTAAACTGAAAAGTTAAAAAGTTTCTCAATAACTCAAATATTTAGCATATCTTCCTCTGTGGCTGTGGGGGATCATTACCTTCCTGATGATGTAATGACCCACATTCAGCCGTCATTCGTCCTGTAACTGGCTCTCTCGAGTGTCTTGCTGTCACCATAGCTCTTCCTCTTCATCCCGAAGAGGAAATCCTAGAAGTTAAGCTCCTGTCGTCTTCCTGTCTTTTCCTTGGTGTTGAAAACAGAAGGGCACTTTTCCTCTCATCTTACTTGCTTCCTCACTCCGCTCTTTTTTTTCTCCCAGGATAACATGAGAATACTCTGCTTCCTTAATATGTGCTCCTCTATCTACCAGTGGGGTTCTGAAGAGATTTGGGATGACCTCTCTGTGTCCTCTACTCAATGAGAGGAGTGCTTCAAGACTCATAGTTCAAAATAATACCTTTTTAAAAAAAATGACATGACATGACAATGACATAAAGTTGGAAAAAAACTGCTGGTCTTAAACTAAAAAAGATAATAATAAAGAGAAGTATATGAGGACCACTTTAAAAAACCAACTAAAGCAGGGAAATTAAAGTGAAAGCGAGCTTATGAGGTTAATAATGTGCTGAACAAAGACACATTTTTGTAGTTTTTCCTCTATACATTGTTTGACTTTTAAAAGAAATAATCAAAATATGATTGAAGTAAAGTGTGATTGAAGTGCAGACTGTCACCTTTTCAGGGGTTTAATAAAAGTTTCCATTAACGGCTCAGCAGTTGCAGCCATTTTTATTCAGTCCCCTATTTCCAGAGGCTTAAAAGTAATTGGACAGTTGATTGTCATGCAGTTAAACCCCTTGAATTTAAGCTGAAAGTCTGCAATTCAATCAAATAATAATTAATTATTTGACTTAAAGCCCCAAAGTGACCTTTTTTCTTTTATGTGACAGTGACGACGGACTGTGGACAGAGATCAAGAGCTATCCTTTTTTGTACTCACATCTTTCAGTCATATAAATATAAAGCATTACTGTTGAATGGCAACATTTTATAACCATTTTTACAGCTGTCCATGTTATAAATATAACTTTGTTACCTGAGATAAAGCATTTAGTGTTGTAAACTACATGTTCTATCTTGATGGTCATGCAAAGTTTTCTTGGACGGTCAACAGCAGTCAGAGAAGCAGACTTCTTTAAGTTAGTGCTCTGTTTTTCATCCTCTGTTTGTGTCTTTTTCTCCTGTCCTCCAGGCTCAGGCTGTGGCGCTAACAGTAGCCCAGGCCTTCACAGTAGCTTTCGAGCTCTGGCAGGTGTCCAAAGAAGGTAGGCATCGCACACTTCTCCATTCAAGTCCTGGAAATGACACGCATATAGGCACCGTCTGTGGAGGGGTTGTTTTATCAAGAGACTGTCTGTGTTTGTCCTTGTTTCACCAAATATGTTGATATGTGCTGTAAACAGGTCCTGACCTGCTTGTGTTGTTTCCTCTTATCTGATTTTTAGAGAAAGGGAAGAGAGCAAAGTCTGGGTCCGCTGGAGAGGCTAGCAGCAGTTCTCATTCAGAGAGATCGAACAGCTTTGGGAGTTTGAAAGGGACAGGTAAAAAAAAAACAAGATGCAAAGCATAAAGGAGCTGTAGCCACATGAGGTCATTTGTGTTATGTAGTCATTCACAAATGGTGTCAAAAACCAAAAAAGGAACTTGGCAAAGTTGTTTTCTTCATCTTTTTTGGTTGCAAAATGAAAGCATAAAATTTCATCTAGTAATTTATAGAAATGGCACGATACCACTTTTTTATGTCCGATACCGATATCATAAATTTGGATATGTGCCGATACCGATATGAATCCGATATAGTGTTTTTTAATCAATAAAACAGTTTTTTAAATATCTTGCTGCATTTTGTATAAGTTCATACTCAAGTTTAAATAAACAACAACACTAGAGCTATTCTGTTATACCTGTATGTAAAAAAAAAAAATACACTGCACCCAAAATATTTCATAGTTCAGCAATACTGATCAATCTAATAAACTTAAACCTACTCAATCCTTCCTATTCTGGTATTTTAAAGAGTACTTAGCAGAAATCTTAAGCAACCTAACTAATAGGGTTGCAAACTCCCAGCAAAAAAAAAAAAATAGGGAACCACCCCCCAACCTCCACCTCATGATGCTTAATCGACGTAATCAACTTTAATTTGATGCAGTGTGGGGAAAAAAATGCACAGAAAGAAATTATTTTTGAAAAATAATTAAATAGATTCAACATCTTCCTTCAACAGAACTGCAGACTGTACAGATGGTATCTTCCCAAAGGAAAAAGTAATATAGCTTACTAGGGTATATTAGACTTAACAGTTATTATATACAGTAATGGACTTTGGGTGTAAGATTCAGATAATTATTGATTAAAAGCTAGACATTTTAAATGAGAATAAGAAAGAAAAGTATGTCTTTGTGCCCCCTCTTCCCTGTTCATGCCCTATCGGCCCCCCTGGCTAAACTTTGCTAGATCCGCCCGTGGACAGTTACCAGCCGTCAGCTGCATAGAAAAAGATCCTGGTGTAGAAAGTAATATTAAATAAATTCTAACAACAGCTTATCAAGCTTAAACGTGCTGCTGTTGTTCAGCCGCTGGTTTCCTCTTTCTGGCGCGAAGTGGGCAATAAACAAACAAGAGAGACAGACTCGCGACAGAAAAGCCGATCAGCTGATCATTGATCAGTTTCACGATTGAAGTAGCAGCAAGAAGAGGCAGTCGCTCCAGGTATTGGTTGTTAAGCTTAACGCGGGAATGCTTTACAAACATTCAGAGATGAACTTACACACTTGCTTTACTTCTCTCTGGGATAACCTTCTCAGAGATGAAATGCTAGTTTGGCAGCAGGCTTCAAATACACACAGCCGCTCTATCACACTGCTCCGACATGCTACGGTTATGAGCCGAGTTACGCCGTGTCGCAAGTTTTGTGAGGTGCTTTTTTTATATTTAATGGATCGGATTACTTTTTTTTTAAAATTTCTCTCCGATATCCGATCCAGTAATTTACGTCAGTATCGGACCGATACGTAATATCGGATCGGTCCATCTCCAGTAATTTATATTTATTACTGATGCTCATGTGGAAAACAGACTTCAGGCAGTATTAAAACTTTAGACCCTCCTACTGTTCGTACACAGAGGTCTGAGGGATCCACTATTTTCTGAAGCTTGATTGGTCAGTAGGTGATTTCATACTTGTTGATCTCTAATGTGAGAGCAGGGTAGGTTTGCAGCATAAGTTACCATAGCGATGTCCAGGTAACCCAGTTTCCTAGATGAGACAAAATTCTGCTTTGTAGCACAGGCCTCTGGTCGTTTTTTATAATCTCACTGACATGTGGTGCTCATCATTTTATCCAGTTTGTAAAATTCTTAAATTTCCCCACAGAATTTCATTGTGGGTGTTAAAGAAACACCCTCTATGCTCACAACAAACTTTACAAGGGGCTTTGGCCCCGTGTTTGTACTTTCAGGCAGCACATACAGGTGATTGGTCCAGTTTGTGAGCACAAGCCATGTTGTGTGGCCTAAAGTTTTCAGCTTTAGTTCTACGTACTGTTCACAGAACGTGATCAGCTGGGAAATAAACCTCCATGGCACATCTGCCTTTTTTGTTTTTCACAGTAGAGGGTATGTGGTGCTTCAGGCTTTTATTCGTCAGCCCTTACTGGTTAAAATAATTATTTTACGCCTGTAGTCCCATGGTCAAAGAGTTATATTCCCGCAGACACACAGGCTTAATAGACGTCTGGCCTCTCTGTTCCTGTGACAATGTAATCCTTGCTTTTGAAACTGGAGGTTTGTGACGTTGGCATTTAGCCTTTCACAGATATTACATGGCTCAATGCAGCACAGTTTGTGAAACAATTTATTGTAACCAATTTCAACTAAAATCTAACTAACTGTGAAACCAATTTATTCATGGCTATAGACATAAAAGGACATGGAAAACCTTTGCATGCTTTAACATTATATTGCCACAGAGATGCAGAAACAGACATGGCACGATGGTCTGCCCCATCATCATTTTTAACTGCTCCCTCTGTCACTTCATCCTGGTGTGGAGGCTGCACTGTGTCTTGCTCTGATCTGTTATTATAACACCAATCAGTTGTCATTCCATCTCTTTTCTATTAGATGTGGCTACAGATATGTTGTTGGATTTGGAGAAGAGTGTGAATGTGGCAGTGGAGACCAATGGAAACATCGGAGAGGATCAGCTGGATAACCACAGACAGACCTCCGAGTCCAACAACAATCCTGCCTGGGTGAGTCCGTCCTCTCGCTTTCTCTGTGTTGACTGTGAATCTCTTACAAATGACCCTTTCTTTCATACTCCGATGTTGACCATCCTCAGTTTGAGAGTTGGATTTTTCCCGACTCAGTTTGGATCTCCAGCTTTTGGAAAGATTTGCTTTAAATTTCCCCTGTTTGTGCCAGCACCACACACATATTACATGCTTTTCCCTGAGTTAATGTTAAGGACTGATTGCTTTTCTTGCAGAAAATAGAAGATGGTTTGGATGAAGCCTTCTCCAGGTGAGATATTTGATTCTAAAGTCTTAAAATAATCTGAAATTAATCCTAGGTGATTTTCTTTGATCCCTGTTCCCAATAAAACATCCCCAAAACACAAAATCTGCCTCTACCTCTGTACTGTAGTTCCTACTTGTACTGCTTGGCTCTATGTCGCCACGTACTGGTGATTTCAGTGTACTGCAGACCGCAAACCCTCCGTTCTCTGACAATATAAAAATATAAATGAAGGGATAATCTCAGTAGAGGTTTGACAGTTGGTGAGAAATGATTTCATAGCTGAACTTTAAATTGTCCTCAATCTGCTGTGTGTTTGTGTCTCCAGCTGTGCTCTGGATAGCTATGGTTCATTTCCAGGTAAAGTTGAGCAATTGTTATCACAAGCCTTACATAGAGTGGTAGTCCCAGTTACTAACCTGACATCAGTCCATTTCATTCAATCACCTCCAAACCCGAAAACCCAGATTACAGGTCAGAGACGCGAGTCACTCGGGGTAACACAACCTCCTCCGTCTTTTATTTCCTGTCAGATGCCTTTGTTGTCGATGGATTTTGTGTTTGATTTGATGTATTGAATTTCAGTCAAAATGAAAAATGTTATTATCTCAACCCATTTCATCATCACCACAAACATGACTGTGTCTGTCTGATAACCCTCCTCTGTGATGTGTAGTGTGTGTTTTGGCTGAAGCGGTGGGGATGGGCTGGGCTTTTGTCCAGCAGTTCCCGTGTCTGAAAGTGGAGCAGTGGGTCACTTGAACTCATTTACGGATCAACACCGTTTATCCCGCAGCTCAAATGAAGTGAATGTGAAGTAATCCCACTGACCTCTACCCAGACTCTGCAGACATTGTTATCCCAGAGAGAAAGGGATGTTTCAGACATATCGGAGCAGACTGAGGGTGTAGTTACATAAACGAGTCTGAGAGGCTGAGCTGCAGTGAATTAAAATCAGCAGAAAACTGAATGCTGGGAGTCGAAACAGCTCTGCTTGCTATTAAGCCCTGAGGGTCGAGAGGATAAGAGTAGGAAACAGAATGACGGCTAGTTTTTACTGTTTACATGAGCTGCTGATGCCTTCTTGGTTCTTCTATTTTATTTTACTTCATTCTGATGGAGGTTGAAGGGAATTTCCTTCTTTTTCTGCCTCAATATGGAAATATCAGTTTACTTTTAAGCCCAGCTCTGTTCAATCTAATTCCAGTTTCCAGGCAGAGGTTTTGTTTTTGCTTGGTTGAGACCATATTCAGCGCAACTCTGTCAACAATCAGGGCTGTGTTGAACTCATTGGTCCCATTTTAAAGAGACCAAAAGCAGTGATGAATTGAGCTGTTTCCAAATGTTTTAGTGGATTTGTTCAGGATTATTTTGTCTTTTGTAACCAAAAGCTGCTGTTTTTTAATTTATTTTTTTAAAAAGCTCTTTATTTGAGTATTAAGAAACAGACCTGTACATTACTGGTTTTGGTCTTTTCATGGGATTGGTTCACACCAAAATAGAAGAATTTCTGCTTGCTTGCATTCTTTTAAAGGGGAGCTGTTGTTGACGGTTGACGGTTGTTTCTCTTTCCCTCAGACTGGCAGTGTCACGTACTAACCCCCAGGTCCTGGACATTGGGGTGACCCCCCAAGATTGGCTCATTGAACCAGACTGGGATGGCACCAATGGAAACACTCCCAACACTGTCAGCCCATTTGAGGATGACTTCTTGGGCTTCTGACCAGAGTCAACGACTAAGAGGGGGAGGGGTGGTGGTGTCTTCCTATGAATTAACCAGATATCAGTGTGTATTTAAGATGAGTTTACTGTACATCTGCAAGGGAATGAAGGGTTGTGAGCTATGAGATGAAGTTTGCCCTCTCCACCTTGTTGTACTCTTCACATGAGCAGTTCTTCCTCTTTCTTTGTGGAAACAGCACAGGCCGCTGCCCCTGTGCACCAAAGCAATAACAGCCTTTAATGTTACCCCATCTCCTCCCATATTACACTGCACAGCGTTACTACTAACTTATGTTCTTCTGTCAGCACTTGTTCTCCTTTGTTTACTTTGTTTTCTTGTTTCTCTTGTTTCTCCCTAATCAGTGTTTTTTTTTTTTTTTGTATGTGTTTAGTTCTAATTTATAGTTGAATAATTATTTTTTTATGAATAAAGTAAGTATTTATTCTGACTGATATACAGACAGTAACACCGGGCCTTAATAACAGCAGGACAATCAGCTATTCTCTAAGTGAAATCTGCTTTGGTTGCAAAAAATTACAGTTGTTTAATGTTTATAATCTTGTTGCACTTGTATTTATATGAAATCTCCCAGCGACTCATTTACAACACGCTGTAAGCTTTGCTGTTTCAGTGCAGCAGTGTAACAGTGCTGAATGTAGCCCAGGTATGTTCACAGTCTATTGTGGCCATTTCATTTTGCTGGAAATATTCCAGTGTTGTATAGAAATAAAATGTAATCATGAATATATAATTTTTATAGCAGTGTTTTGGTCTGTATTCATCTAAGTTTAAGATTACACTAGTTAGAATCATCAGAAGAAATGGAAGACATATAATATTGATATAGATATCTTTATTTATTTAGTTATTTTTTTGAAAGATTTCCACATTGAACATTTCCATATTGTTATTGCTGCACTTCACAGGTTAGACTCTTTATTTTTCTCATGCTGGTTCAGCTCCTCAGCTTAGACACCTTTGGATAGTCCTTTCCCCTTTTTAAGCCCACTGTCTTTCCATTGGCTACTCATCATAAACAAGAGGTTTGAAGAGAAGGTGGGTGGGGCTTCTGTGGTCAAATGCAGACATGGTCATATAAGGAATATCTGCTCTCATTTGAGGAGCTGTCTGAACCTTTTTGTGTTGACTGTCACGTCTATTTGATCCATAGCAAGGTTATTATCGTTAACGAAAACTAGAAGTGAAAAAACATTTTCGTTAACGGAAATAAAAATAAAAACAAAAATAGGAAAACTAACTAAAACTGTAATGAGTGTTCACAAAACTAACTAAAATTAACTGAATTTATAGCAAAAATGTGTTTAGTTTTCGTTGATGTGTGCGTGTCATACAATAGTCAAGGGTGAAAATGAAGTTTAGTTTCCAGATTTTTTTTTCTGGCTGTCTCATTATGCCAGCAGGTGGCCAGTACGTTAGTCGAGTCGTCTGTGTTGTTGCTCCGTCCACGCGCAGAATCATGTCAGGAAAAGTCGGGAGAAAGCGCCTGAGTCCAATTTGGGATTACTTTGAATATGACTGTGTTTTGGATAAAGCAAGTGTCTTGTAGTGGAAAGAGACAAATTATGAGGGACATTTCTAAAGGGAAAAAATCCCACAAACCTTAAAGCGCAGTTGAAAAGCTCACACAAGAAGGCTAACCTAGCTTACCTTGAGAAGGGAGCACACTCAACCCTCATTCCCAGAAAACAGAAGCTAACCCCAGGCAAGGCAAGCGTGATGCATCCCGGGACAACAGGACGGGGATATCTACATAACTGTGTGAGTCAATTGCCTTAAAAAAGTTTATCAATTCACTTGAACCAAAATTACGAACACCCGGTGCTGCAAGAGTTAAGTCGCATTTGGGCCAAGATATACATTTTATAGTTGCCTGGTATCAATGGTTGTTCATCTGCCGTTATTTGTTTATGTATTTATTTATTTAAAGAACCCACAGTGTTGGGAAGGTTACTTTTAAAATGTATTCCACTACAGATTACAGAATACATGCCCCAAAATGTATTTTGTAACGTATTCCGTTACGTTACTCAATGAGAGTAACGTATTCTGAATACTTTGGATTACTTAATATATTATCATGCTGTTTACAACTATGTGAATGTACTATTGCTGTGTGATTTATTACTATTACTGAAGGTCCGTGGCTCCGAACCGTAGTAAAGGGACCTCTGGCTAATACCGTGGGTTCCGTAGCCGAAAAATAGCTTTACTTTGTTGTGTGGGTCAACTTTGCTTGCGAGAGACAGAGAGAGGCGTTGAAAGGCTGCTCCAACGGAACTTATTGTTTTTGGAGGAAAACACGAACACGGTATACAGTCGAGTCTTAATAGCTTACTTACAACTGGGCTCGTCAGGCACTCTTCTTAGCTGCAGTGATTATTATTATATTTACATGCTTCCAGCTCTCGTTTCTGCTCGTTGACAGCTTGTACTTTTCCTTTTTTTTCCCCTCCCTCGCTCACAGACACATAACGGGTATGGCAGTCCATTCTCCCTGCAGCACGGACTACACTGCCTATGATGCTACATTCGTTAGAGCTATATCTGTACCATTCTGCCTATTAGCTTAGCACAACAACAACAAAAAGGCGCTCTCTCACCCAGGAAACACGCAGAGAGAGAGTCACCCTGTAACCATGGCAACCGTAACGCTGCCGCCTGGAACAACAGAACATAGCTGTCAAACAAAACCCAAACAGTCCTGACCCGCCACAATATGCAACAGGAAAGTACCGTCCTGTAATCAATTTATTTCAACAAAGTAACTGTATTCTAAATACCACCTTTTTAAACGGTAACTGTAACGGAATAGTTACTCATATTTTGTATTTTAAATACGCAACGGCGGTACATGTATTCCGTTACTCCCCAAAACTGAGAACCCATTGGTGGAAATGTGAGTTGTCTGTCTCTGCGTGTTAGCCCTGCGACAGACAGGCGACCTGTTGACCTTTTGTTACACTTAATTATTGCAAACACAGCTAAAACTATAACTGAAACTAATGAAAACTAAACTGAAACTAAGGATTTTCAAAAAAATAAAAACTAAACTAAACTAGCAAACAATTGGTAAAAACTAATTAAAACTGATATAAAACTGAAAATCTGAAGTCAAAACTAAATAAAAATAAAAACTAATGAAAATTGCAAAACTATTAAAACCCTGATCCATAGCCATTTAAACAAAAGATGTCTTTTGTTGTATTAACTAATTACTGTGGAAAGTAAAAATCAAAGTGATTTAGTGGTCATCAAAGGTTTTTTAGAATTTCCATACTGACGATGATTCATCACATTTTGACACACTGCTCTCCTCTACATAAGCTGCCTTTACAGGTTAAACGTATCCGTACTAGTATTGGTATCAGCAATGCTTGCTCTGTATTTACTTGGTATTGGATTGATACTAAAATCTGGACACAACCATAGAGAAGCCTTTGGAACAGCTACAGAATCATACTATAAGGAAGGACCTCTTGAATGAAAGTGTGAGTCAATGCACGGGCAGCAGGGGGCAGCCCTGTCAAATGAAATCAATCCCACGCAGTACACTTGAGATGACTGCTCTTTGAATTCTTAGCAGCATCTAATGCTGGTCACATCTTCAGCTCTGGACCAAGACAATCATTTGTGCTCTCCACTGCCACACAATGATGTCTAATTCTGTTTAATAAGCCCGCCCTGTTGTCCTCGATTCAAAGTGACAGCGTAGGTCAATAAATGCAACTTTATGAGCTCTGAGAGGGCTTGTCATAAAGAGGAAAGGATGCTTTGTGTCAGATTGATCTATAAACCACAAGCAAGTGGACATGATATCAGGGAGAGAGGACACCGGGACCTGTCTGGCTGCCCCATCACACACACACAAATTCCTTGCCACGTTCTGTATTCGACCCATGTGTGAAGAGGACTCTGGAGGGCTGAAAGTCACGCGGTCTCCCCCCTTTCTCTCTCTAACAGGCTGTGGCTCAGTGAAGCAGGGGCTTTTTTACAATTCGTCCCGACAAGCTTACTTAACCACCTGCATTATTTAACAGTCTTTCCTCAAAGGGAGCTCCAGCTCTCTGTCTCCGCTCTCTGTAAGTTTGATGAAAGCGTGCACAGTGGAGAAAGGGGAAAAAAAAAATCCAGGCAAAAGTTGCCTCTCCCTCAAAAAAGAAAAGAAAAAAAAAGGGACAGGTACTGTAAGCACGAACAGTTAAAAGGCAATAACGGCTAAAGACTCAGCGAGCCTTTGGGCATCAAGGTCAAGGTGGATAAAAACTGTGGTATATGACATATATTTTGAGAAAACTCAACGGACAGTAAAATGGGAAGATTTTACTTTTTGTGTAAAAAAATAAATAAAAATATAATAATAATAATAATAATTACATATATATACTTTAACACCCAGCACGCCCCTGCGGGCGGTTTATCCTTCAAGCTCGGGTCCTCTACCAGAGGCCTGGGAGCTTGAGGGTCCTGCGCAGTATCTTAGCTGTTC